CAAATGTGCTACCCACTGCGCCACTGCGTTGCTAAATTGACTAATTTGTAATGGTTTAATGGCATTAAAACTGTATTTTATATCTATTAGATCTTCTCTAATGGTTTCATTGTTTTTTGTTTGCTTTTCAGAAATGATTTGTGATCATTTCAATAGCTATAACATAAATGTATACTCTTTTGATGTCTAACTACAATGGTCCTCTGTTGTAATTGTTAGCATCTTGGCATGTTAAATCCAATAAATCCTAATGTAATAAGTGCCAACACAACCTACAAAATCATACTTGTTTTAATGTTTAAAATGTGACGGTTTGTAATCTTTCAATGCTATTTGGGATTGAAGGTTTTCTTTGAGGTTTGGGATGGGTTATTTATAAATGATGTTGAAATGATATTGTGGGGCTCTGCTGGTCCACTGGTGTGCCTTCTATTGGTGGCAAGTTAAAGCCAACAAAAGTCCTAATGGAATGTTACAAAAAACACAGTAGAAACCATTTAGATTAACAAGTTTGTAAAGCTTTTTATTAGATTTTCTCAGCTTTCATTGTTCTTTGTTTGCCTTTCAGAAATGGGTTGTGATCATTTCAATAGCTATAACATAAATGTATAGGTTTTTAATGCCAGGCCTGATACAGTAGTCCTCTGTTGTAATTGTTTACCTCTGGCATGGTAAAACCAATAAATGCGAATGTAATAAGTGCCAACATGCACTATAAAAACATACTTGCTTTAATTTTCAGAATGTGATGTTTGTAAGGTTTTTAAATGCCATTTGTAGTGGAAACTATTAGAACTTTCTACGATGGTTTCTATTGTGTTTTCTAGCAGTGCTGTTGTCCAGACAAACAGTGTGTGCGTGCCTGTAGGTGTCAGTGTTTGATACTGTGAACGGCTCCAGACATGTGTGTGTGTGTGTGTGTTGGGGCAGATGAGAGCGCTGGTTATTTAAGAAGTCTCCTGTGTGTGTTGTGCTGGATGGAGCGCGTCTGTCGCCTGACAGTCACACACCGCGGTTCATACAGAGCTCAGCTTCCAGCAGCCAGCTAATGAGGAGCTGTCAGTGCAATTAGAAAGCTGGCAGAGAGAGAAATGGCTCACTTTTATACAGCCATCTGCCCTGACTGTTAAACCTTCCTGTGTCTCTTTCTAATTACAGAGGAACCAGCTCTTTCATTTAAACACTCTCACTCCTGACAGCTCACTTCATCACCAGCGCCAATCCGACGGCAAGAGTTGTAATGTTTTTTTTTTTCTTTTCTTTTTTACAAACCGCACCGTTAAAAACAGACACTTTGTGTTAGTCTTCAATTACAATAGACACAGGGAATCTTATAAACAATTTACTCTCAAGGAAAGGAAAGTGCTGTAGATTTACATGCAGAGAAGATAATGATTTATTAGAGGTTTTGGAAAGTTCTACTCTATTGATAAGATCATGGATAAACAATGGTGTATAATAAGGACAATATGCAACATCAGATAGAGGATGTTTCCGATATATTTTGTTAATATTAAACTTTGTATTTTGAGAGTGTGCAATATCGTAATTTGTAATTGTTGTTTTACCATTGTAAAACAATTGTTAATGGGTTAAGTTGTTAAATTATTATACAGTGCTCAGAATAATTAAGTACATTATGAAAATTAATTGTATTTTGTTGCATTTAAACAAAACACATTTATTAAACAGATTTATTAATAAAAATAAAATTTTAGTCAACAGAAATATTCAGAAATGGAAATACATTTAAATTCAAACAAAATATTGCAAAAAAACGACAACCTACAAAATGTCAACACATTTTTTTGCTTCTCTTGGTTTTTCCTCTTTATTTACATTTTGTCGGTTCATTCTGCTGTGGTGACCCCAGATTAATAAAGGGACTAAGACAAAAATGAATGAATGATTTAATTAATTGATTCATATTTTTCTAGCATATAAATTTGGGTGTACTAGTTTTTGGAATGTTATCGTAAGTTATTTTTGTTAGATAAGCTCCAGATTTGCCTTCAGTACTGACTAATTCAGAGATGCCCAAAGTAGGGCCCACGGGCCAAAGTTGGCCTATTGTAACCTTTGATTTGGCACCCCAATTTCATCTGAGAAGAGAGTGAGAAGGACAAAGAGGGTTAAGACAAATGCCTTTAACACATAGATCATCATTTCTAATTTGAGGTAAACTTTTTTGTTTGTTTTATTGCTGAGCTACAAAAAAAGTAAACTGAAATTAAACGTTTCAATTAAAAATTGTAAACAAATCAAATTTTTAAAAAATGTAAATACTGTCACTCGACGAAAAGAGGTCTATGCAGAAGACATCGGCAAGCAAAAGGCACAAAACTAGTGTAATTTTGTTCTAAATGAGATTGATTTGGTTTTACAGTAATAAGCTCATTATAAATTTTAAAAACTATTAGTTTATATGAAACAATGTTTTTTTTGGTCATTTTTAAACATTAAATAAATTAGGAAATGACCCATGGTAAATTACCCCCCCCCCCCTATATTTGCATTCAGCCCACTAGCCTCAATCAAGTCTGGTTTTTGTCCATTCATAAAAAAAAGTTTAGGCAGCCCTGGACAGATCTAATGTGCACAACTATAATATTGTATAGCTTCCTATTAAAAATATGAATTTAAAAGATAGATTTGTGAGGGGTGTACTTATATATGCTTAGCACTGTACTGGCAATATGCCACTTACTTAGTAAAACAGTCTGAAGCATATTAACTTGCCCTATAGTCCAGGTTATGATAAAGTGAAGTAATATCAGAACAGCAAGAGCCTGATTTTCCGGAATATCAGCATGTGAACATGACTGAAAATGTGGTTGTATTTTATAAAATAGCTCAGTAAGTTGAGCGAGTTACTTTTTAACCAGGATTAACTACTGTTTTTACTTCTGTTTTATTTAGGAATCAATCAGATTTTGAATTTGCTGGTTGCTGCTTTGCTCATGCAGCAGAAAGGGTAAAGCTTTCAGGTACTGATGTTGAATTATTTTATTTATTTTGGATTGTAAAAGCAAAAGTCTCCTACGAGAGTGATTATAGCGCCTCCTGATGGTAAATGCGGTTATACTCATGGCAGATATTATTTGGTAGTTTGGTCATTTATTTCCCTAATTTGGGACTTGTCAAATGTCATCAGGGAAATGGTTTTCATTTCTGTTTAGTAAAAAAACTGTAGTGTTCCATTTGGGATGACACTGAATTCATATACTGTGCTGTTGAGTGTGTAAGTAGATGGTGCATGTCACTTTGTTTATAAATGAATCAGCACTTTTGAATTTATCATATGAATGAAAGATTTAATGAATCGATCATTAAGATGGAAGCTTTTTGCCACCTACTGGTGGAATTTTTATCATATATTATTTGTTCATGCCAGGTCTACACCAGCCAATGGTACCCTTAAAATATGATTTACCATTTTTAGAAATATATCTCAATACAACTGACAACACTTTCTGCAGAATTTTTTCAAAACAAGAGCTTTTCCTAAAATATAATCAATAGCAAATCCACTATGATATATCATTTTTCACTGATTGATATTAGTAAGTTAAATAGCAAATGTGCAGGGTATACAGCAAAGAAAGGGTTGTGAATTTATTTATGGCGTATGAACTGTAAATCTAGGTGTTTCAGGGAAACAATGAATGCCAGCGGTTTAAGCATTCCCACCTGTGCATTCAGACAAACGCAGTCAGCCCACAGGCTCTGTGCACAGACTCAAAAACACCACTGATTTAATCTGTGCACAAACTGAAATTAATCACAGCAATCTGTCTGATTCCTGCAGAATTACGACTAAACGCTTTCATTCATAGCTGAACCTATCCATATAATTCAATGTTCTGATTTTAATGATAAACTGTAAAAAATGATTTGTCTACTAACTGATTTAGATGAATCCAACGTATTTTTAATATTAATGAACCATAATATCAGGTTACACAATGAAAAGTCATATTTAAAGGAAGAAATAGTGTCTTCAATAACATTTGTGCAGATCCATTTTCCAGGTTAGATGCAATAAAACATTTATTTTTTACAAAAAAAATGTGTAGTAATCTCTAAAACAACAAGGTTTAATAATAGTAATGCTAATTAAATAATAGATTTTATTATAATATAATATATAAATAATAAATTATATAATCAATTATTATTATTATTATTATTATTATTAAAACATGTTATTTTTTAGTTTTTAGAGAATTTTAAGTAAAATGAAATGCTTTTTTGCATTTAACCTGGAAAGTGGATGTGCACAATAGTTATTCAAGGCACCGTTTCTTCCTTTAAATATGACTTTTCATATTGTATAACCTGATATTGACGATTCATTAATATTAAAAATACATTTGATTCCATTAAAAACATTCATTTTAATTTTTTTTAGTTACTAGTCAGGTCATTTTTTACAAAAAATCATATTAGTCAAGCATATTAGATTATACTTATTATTGGTACCAAAAAAAGTTATATTTAAGGGTCACGTTAGGCAGAAATACAGCCTTAAATAATTGTTAAACTGACCTTTTCGAATGTCACAAAAACAAATCAAGTCATTGCTGCTTTCAATAAAACATTGACTATGTCTGATTCTAACAAAAAAGTTCATTCTGTAACATTACCCATCAACACCAGCCAAACACAAAAACCATTGTCTTTCACTCACAATTTTTGTTATAAATTATGACAGCAAATGCCAAGCAAAATAATATCCGAACAGTATCTCCCTCATACAGCCAGCCCAAAATCCATCCCTGCGTTGACTTGATTTCATGCTTCCAGAAACCACTTTCAAAACGACCCACCATGCATAATGAAGCCATGTGAATCACATTACCCAAATCTCCCCCAGAAACAACCAACTCTGAACACAAGCAAGCAACTCCGACTCCATCAAAACTTTAAAACACCTACGAATCCATAAACTGATATCAGACTTCTCCCCAGAATCCCCAACAGCAGCAGAAGTGACTGACCTTTATAGGAGAGTTTAAGCCGGGGTACGTTACTCTTGCTCCTCTGCGCAACGGTTCCTCTTTCAGGCGCGATGAGCGTCCAAATCAGCAGTACAATCCACCACAAGTAGTCCATGTTCCGTATGCAGTCCCGTGGCCTCCGGTTTAATGCAGCTTTTTCAGCAGTCCAGTCCTCCTGAACGCCACCTGAGGATGAAGCAGGTGTGTGTGTGCGTGTTCAGTAAGTCACACGGTGATCACATCTCTCCTGCTGAATCAGTCACAGCCTCAGGAGATCACCATGAGTCTTCACTGTAGTCGCTCAATCAGTTTAAAAGTGCGTGTGGCTGGCTGTTTATCTCCTAGATGTTGTGTGTGTGTTTCCTCTCAGTGTTTTAAATAGTAACTCAGCTGAGACTGAACTCAAGTAAAGCGCGGTGAAGCCCCAGGCGCTCCTCTCTCTTTCTCTCTCTCTCCGTAAAGCTCAGCGCTCACACACAGACTCAGCGCTAGACTGAGAGAGAGAGAGAGAGAGAGAAAGAGAGAGAGAGAGAGAGAGAGAGAGAGAGAGAATAGGGGAGGGCTGTGCTTCCAGCAGAGGATCCTCTAGGTAGACTTTTTCTTCTGTCTTCCCACTTCCACATCCCACACGCTATGGAAGTTTTAAGGTTTCTGCCATGGAATAAAAGGCACAAAAAAGGCCATTATCTTTAAATATACAAATGCAAATCTTGATATATAAACTCTACGTCAGATGTTCTTTGAATTCATACAAGTTAAGGTCAGATTTGTAAGAGGAACATACAGAACAATTCTGTGTTAAACTTACAATTGCAAGCTGAGATGTAAACTCAATATTCTAAGCCAAAACAAATTCAGAATTGTGATACTTGTACATTTCTGAATAAAAGTGTCAGAGCAATTTTCAGTGGATATAAACTTGTGATTTAAAAAAGACAGAACAGTCAGATATTAACTTATGCCGAATTCAGACTGCAAGATTTTCAAAGTAGTCGTTTTTTAAAAATATCGGTAAATTCGTTCTGGCTATTTTCCGGAAAGAGAAGTTGTAACATTACCGGTAATTTGCCGGAATGCTGCGCTGTGTGAACGCAAAAGGAAGATTGCCGAAAAGAGAGCATGCACGCCTAGAACATGCTAACGTAAGACGTCTGCTTTAGCCAATCAGAACAGTCAGACGCATTCGCATCCGCGCAGTTTATGAGAATAAAAGCATTTGAATATTTTTCCAGACACATTTAGCTGCAAGAAATTAGTCAGATAACGTTTATATGTTCATCTTAATGCCAACCGTGTAAATAATTATTGATAAGATGCTTATGATAAGCCGTTGTTTGTTTACCTTCAAGCTTTGCGTGTGCCCATGAAACAGCCCGTGAGCACCAACACACACACATATCATGTACATCTCGACATGCGAAAGTGTTTCTCTATATGTTTGTGATGTAGTCAAATGTTTACAAATACAAGCGCAGCCATTTAGAGGTCATTTCTGGTTGATGATGTCAGAATTACCGGTATTTTGGAATGGATGTGTGAATGCTCTTTTCCGGGAAAATTCCGTAACGTCCTCGCCTGTGTGAACAGCACTTTTTTAATTTAACAGTAAAGTCGTTCCAGAAATTTTCCATATATTTACCAGTATCGCTGTGTGAAAGGGGCTAAAGAGACTGTGAACGAATTTTTAGGGTCATTCATTTATTTTCCTTCAGCTTAATACCTTATTTTTCAGGGGTCACCACAGCAGAATAAGCCACCAAATATTTCGGAATATCCGCTGTGTAAAACATACAAAACATACTGTATGCTAGATAAGTTAGTGGTTCATTCCGTTGTGGTGACCCCAGATGAATAAAGGGACTTAGCCAAAGGAAAGTAAATGAATGAATTCCTAACATGTTTTTAGAATAACACCGTGTTAGCTGGAAAGCTGCAAACTGAATTGTTAAAAATAAAGTTACAAACACAAGTTGAAGACCTACTCTCTGAATTGTGTGACAAATTCAAAAAGTACAATAAAAAGGATCAAAATGTGATTTAAGCTACAAACAAGCTTCCACAACACAGTCAAAGTTAGATTGACATTGCCAGGCATGTGTGCTGGAGTGGTAGAAATTTTTCAATCTCTCTGTCCAAGCTTACCATTGTTTATTTTGCTCTATCAAATGCAGGAGCAAACTTTATGTCCTGCTCAGGACACAAGGAAGCGGACACAAGGAAGCGAACTCTTCCTGTCCATGTCTCGTTCTGTTCTCTGAAACACTCGAGCTCCACCTTCACACCAGACACTTATTTTTAGCCTGTCTCTCAGTGTGAGGTGAAGACGTGTGCAGAACCATGATATTCCATGTTTAAAGAGACGCTGGTCAGAGAACTTACGCATTTAAAGGAACGGCTTCCCATTTACTCACTTTCAAATAGTTCATTTGTACTGCCAAGCTCTAAAAGATAAACACATCATATGAGTGGAACTATAAAACTTGTGTGCTGTGGTTAAAAAATAATAATTTTATTTTAAGAATAGAATAGATGTTTGAGACTACAGGATGATAATCTTCCCCTCTGATCAAGATCAAACATCTTTATACAGTACAAAGCAGCAGTAGAGATTTCAAAAATAATAAACAAAAACCAAAAATTAAAACTAAAATAAGTAAAAATAAAATATCAATAAAATAAAATAAAAAATAAATAAATAAATAAAAATAAATAAATAAATGAATAAAATAAAATAATAAAAATAAAACAAAACAAAAATATAAAAAACACAAAATAAAATTAAATAAAAAAGAAAAGAAAAGAAGAAAAGGAAATAAAAAAACAACATAAATAAGACAAAAAATAAGATAAAATAAAATAATAAAAAATATGAAAAAACAAAAACAAAATAATCTAAACAAAATAAAATAAAACAAAACAACATTGAATAAAATATAAAACAAAAAACAATAATAAAATAATAAAAATAATAAAATAAAACAAAAACATAAAAAAATTAAATAAAATAGAAAATAAAATAAAAAATAAAATAAAACAAAACAAAAACAAAGCAACATAAAAGAAAAAAAATAAGAAAAAATAAAATAATTTTAAATATTATAAAAATAATAATATAAACAAAATAAAACAAAACAACATAGAATAAAATATAAACAAAATAAAAATAATAAAAACAAAACAAAATTTAATAATAACAATAATAAATAATAAAAAAAGAAAAAAGAAAAATATATAAAACCAAACCAAATAAAATAATTTAAAAAAATTAAAACAAAGCAAAACATAACATAACATAAAACCATATATATATATATATATATATATATATATATATATATATATATATATATATATATATATATATATATAATTAACATATTTATTGTGTTTGGCTTGGGAATAATGCTGTGGGCATTGTGTCTACCAGAACTTTTCATCTTTGATAGAGGAAGTAAATAAAGATAAAAGAGAGAGAGAGAGGGACAAAAAATTTCTAAAAGAATTTTTTATTATTTTCATTTTTGGTGTGAACCGCCTCATTCAGGATAACTACTTGACTACACATTCAATACTCAGTCCAGATAAGATTTGAGTGTAGGCATGTTTGATTGACAGCAGTTGCTGTGACTCCACCTACCACTGATCTCATAATCTGTGACCCCTCCCCCTACAACACACCTCTCCTACTGACCATAAACAGTTCCAGACTACTCCCGCTCAGTTGTCGGTCGGGGTGGCGGGGGGGGGGGGGGGGGGGGGGGGGGGTTTTGGTGGTGTTTGACAAGGTGTGTGCAACGTGTCTGAAGAGCGAGGACGAATGCAGTGAAGGGTGCGCAACGTATTTGAGGACCATGAAGGAGACGCGGGAGTCTCTGTGCATTTCTGGGAGACTAATGAAAACTCTGGGAGATTTCTCCCTCCCCTTTACAAGGCGAAAAGAGAGTTTGAGCTCAGGTAGATCTCGAGAACTCCTCTGCTTTAGTAGCTAATGAACAGATAGTGATTGCTCTTAAGAGATAACTACTTACTAGGAGCATGTCTATGGTGCCAATTTGGATTAGTCAAGTAACTTAAGTTGCATGTTTTTGCACTATCGAATGACTTTTAAAATGCTTCTCTTGGTTTTTTAATCTCTAAATGGCCTGGTATATTCCTATCTGTCGGACAAGTTGATTCAGCATCAGCCTGGTTGGTCTCTTCCATCATCTTATCAGAGACTGTTATGCATCTCTAAGTCGAGGCTGAAATGCAGAGGTGACCGTGCCTTCGCAGAAGCTGGTCCTAGATTGTGGAATGCTCTGGCCGTCTGTATCAGATCTGTTTCATCCCTATCCGTTTTTAAATCTAGGTTGAAAACTTAACTCTTCGATTTGGCATTTTATCAGTGAAAATTGTCTGTTTTAGCTATAATTTTTTTTTTAATTTTATATATACATATTTGTTTTTTCTCTGTTTTGGTTTGTTCTGTGCAGCACATTGGTCAACCTCTGGTTGTGTTAAATAGTGCCAGATAAATAAAATTAACATTGACATTTTTGGACGGTGGGAGAAAACAAAGGAACCCTGGGGAAACCCACGTGAGCACGGGGAGAATGTGTAAACTCCAAGCAGAAACATCGGCTGGCTTGGTAAAGACTAGAACCAGTGACGTTCTTGCTGCGAGGCAACAGTGCTAACCACTTTGCCACTGTGCCACCCATCTAGGAACGGAGGAGTAGGAAACAAAGCTGTCTTATGGAACTTAGGGTATTTATAGTGGCTTAGGAATCGTCTGGTTGGTGAATCATAAATTGAATAATGCGGGACCTGCCGCAATCAATCATAGGCACGTGATCCTCTCGAAATAGTTCATAAATAAACTTCACAAAGAGAGTTAGTGTATTGGTTTGTATATTTGGTTTCTTTTATTTATTAGTTTAGTTAGATTGAAATATTGCTGTTTTGTTTGTTATGTTGGACTTGACCCCTCTTGCTTCATTATGTTAAATAAATGTACACTTTTTTTTAATGCTAAGCTTGTTGTTTTTGTAAGTCAGTAGAAGAAAAAAATCTTCATCTTCATCTTCAAACGCCCTGGCTGGGTCAGTTGGCATTTCTGTGTGGAGTTTGCATGCT